ATATCGCAATATATAATATTATCATTGAGCCAACAATGACCAATATTTCAAGATCGATGGTTGTAATAAAAAAAAAAAGCAAAAGCTTCGGAACTCCGAGAAAAAGAGGGAGAAACACGCCCTAATAAACAAGATCCATGTATTTTAATCTTCGCGTTTAAAAGATCACTTATCGGATGAATTCATGAGATCAATAGGAAAATGTCACAGTATTAACCTTAGACTCCTCTAAAAGCGATCGTCACTAATATCCAAAGAAGTACATTTTTGGGGGGAATCTTTCAGCATAAAATGCTTTATTTGCCAGCGAAATAAGCGGCAAGCCCGAACGGAGAGTAAAACGAATAGAGGGCATTCATTTTATAATTTTTGAATAGAATGGAGCTTCACGCCGAGAATTCAATTATTCGCCTAGTTTTTTACTTTCGCTGATGTCTCAGAATATCTATAATTTATGAGAAAGCACTGTTTTTAGGAAATATTAGATTGGCTACTGATTTTCTTACACCGAAGTGTTCAATAACTCGAACTTAGAAAATTATAATTTGACCTTGATGTTTCTCTATGCTGGGGCATTTTTACGAACGGTTTGCCAGAGAGGCGTTTTTAAACTTTAAACAGTTCGCTCATACTCAACAAAAGATTGCTTTATTTTTCTTGTCTAGATAAGCGTGCAACTCAAATTGCATTGTTAACCTCATTCCTTCATTGTTCTATATTTTGTATTTAATATGTAATGCGTCAGGCCGCCGAGAAACAATAATGTCAGCGGTTTTTTTTTAGCCAGGGCTTTACAATTCGGTCGCCTTTGAAAGTTTCATAATTCTTTGAGAAGCTTTGCGAAGGACAATTTTCCTTTTACGAAATATATTCAGAAACTTACCCCTATTGTCATTCTCATTTAATCCTTTCTTCATTTACAAAAATTTTTGCCTTAAACTTAGCAAACAGCTTGCATTAATGGCAAACAGAGATTTTTCACTTTCAGAAGATATTTCGCTCTTGGAATTTTGTAATATCTGGCCAGAGCTAGCAGGGGGCTCTAATATAACTCTGATCCGACTTAGCAAATAAAGAAACCTTGAACGTCATTCGTGCAGCTAGGGCACGAATGACGTCTGTGTTTGAGGGGGACAGGAGACGTAGTCGAGTATTTATTTCTATATCTTGAGTTCTCTAGCCGCTTCCTTCCTTCCTTCCAGGTCCTCCATTAAAGAGTTATCATGATCACGTTTGCAAACACGGCTATGATTTTCAAGAACTTCGAATGCATGTGTACTCGTACTGATTTTTAAGTTGTCGCTGCTCAGTCTGATCATAACAACAAAAGTTCATGAAATGCAAGATTCTTGTCAAGTTCCTGAACAGTTTAACAAAGCTTTCTTTACAAGTTTAGTCATTGAAAGCAAGTTGGACAGAACATTGTTTGCCGCAATTATAAAAATAGAATTTCTAAGAGTGTTGCTTTAATTAGTTAATTTCGATAGTTTCTTGATAAATATATTTAGGAGCATCGAGGACGATGCTCACTCACTCTAAGAAGGGAAGCATGTTATGAAGTATTTAGTTAGTCAGTTCAGTAATTTAAGTTATTCTTTTATATTTAGAATGTAGCTACTAGGAATTCAAAGTGTAAAGTTATTTGGGTTTGCGCTGTCACGATGAGTTTCCGAATTGTCTCTGTTTTGTCTAGCTTCCAAGTGGATGTGCGTAGTTTGTCAACTAACTTTGGTTTGATTTGGACCTACACGGAAGCTCTTTTTCTGGCTAACACAGTCAGAGGTTGATTTAGTTGATCGGAAGTATTAAAAACTTTCTTGTTCATTTCGAAGGTCTCGTGTAAAATTGTTTGGGTTGGTTTTATAACAATAATAGAGGACAACAATCATTTGAACTCATGACCTCTGAGATAAGGTACTATGCTCTACCATCTAAGCAAACAGGTCAATTGGGACGGAGCTGGTCATTTTTTTGCTTCGTAATATACCCGTGAAATGATGAATCAATGACTGTAAATATATAAAAATCATACGTGTGAACCGCGGTTTAAGAAGTGAATTTAAAAGTGATCTTCGCAGTGATGAACACTACTGAAGCAGTTATTTCAAATGACTAGAAGTGAGAAAAAAATACAGTATTGACTCTATTCATCCAGTGTATATCTCAGTTAATTTCAATAACAATACATGTCTAGCCGAATAAACACAGCGGTCAAATGTCTGCGGGAGTGCGAACGTTGCAATGACTTAGTGCTGTGCTTTTAAGCTTTCAGAACCAAGTTGTATTACACGTAAACGACCGCACAGGCCAGTAATTCACGGTGTTTTGAAATCGTCGATGTTTTTGGTAAAACTGAAATTAGAATGGTAAATCAACAGGATACATGTACTTGAATTAGCTTTGTGTTCGAAAAGTCTCGAATTTTCGTTTTTCCTACTTTTATTGCTATGGACGTTTCGAATTTCCTTTTTGCTTTCTTTTTGAGACAGCAGTTGTTTCAACACAGCAGTCACGGTTGCACATGCGCACTTAGATTCAAGCGGCATGGGTAATGTAGAGAACTCGAATGAGACGTAGTTTTTTATAGCTTCTAATAAAATTTCAAAGTTTCTAAAGCCAAGACTTTTATATATTGTTGTTTCCACCCATTACTCTCTATTTTCAAACAAATTTTAATACACGAATGAATGAATATAGGTAATGGCTTTGGCGCCCGCCACAATTCCTCCGGAGCCTTACATAATCCACGACCGGAAGTTTGTGGTTCAATTCCTCACAAAGAACCAGTTTTTTCTTTGTCCCCCCTAAAGTATCGTCGAAATCTCTTAGTTGATCTTTCTCACTTTGTACTAGCTTACACTCTCGTAGTTTGTTTCACACTTCGCATGGCGACGTGATAAGGTCGTCTGGAGGCTTGGCCGTGGCTGGCTGTTGTTATCCTTTGCTGTGTTAATAGTGTAGTTGGCGGTAAACACCGAGGGAAATGTGTGAAAAAAAAGAGGGACCATGTATAGCCATGCAATATCTCTTATGACGATAGCTGGTCTTTGTTTATCGCAGAAAGTAGAGGAGAATGAACTGCAGGAGCAGAGAATGTTGGCGTATTTCCCGGGATAGACATGCTCAACACATGCACAACAGAAATTCTCTTCACTGACTGTCAAACAAGTTTGTTTCAAAGCTTTGAGAATTTAGTGACAGATCAGTAACATTACAGGGACCTCGCGTCGATGACCCTTGAAATTCTCGCTAGCTCTCTGCTTCCTTAAATAGCGATATCGTTGGGAGATTTGTAAAATGATCAAATCTAAACAGCAGAAAAGTTCGAGCCTTCGATTAAACAAATCAAACACAACTGAACCGACAAACGCGGCTTCCCTGCCAATAAAAATTGTTTCACTGACTTGAACGAAGGCGGCACAATTATTTGAAATAGAATTAATCAGCTGTGGCTTCGTAAAACAGCTAAGCTCATCTCCGAAAACACTCTTAGTAATTCTCAAACCAGGGAGATACAGCTCTGGATAGAAGCAGAGATGTAACGAATTTAAGAAAATGAACGACACTTTTAAAATTAAAAAACATGTTTCCACTGTTCTTCTGTCATCTTCAGTTCTAAATAATACAAAGTACAAAGTTGAATTTAAAGTGTGTAAGAAAATGCTGATTGGACAAAAGAAACAATAGTAACAGAATGATGTATGCATTTACAAGGAAAGTTTCAAGTTGGTGATTAAGAGTAGGTTTCCCCCATTGAATTTGGATAGCTTTGATTTTAAGTTGAAAGTTGTAGAAGCGTGATCTAGGATGTTAAAATACTCATCAGAACAAACAGTGCGACATTGTGGAGAATTGTGTAGATGTCTGAAAATTTGACAGGTCCTATCACTGACCAAGTGCTCACGTAGGCGTGTGGATAAATATTTAGAGGTTGACGAAACCCCTCGACATTTATTCACACGCGTATGCGTGAGTACTTGGTCAGTGATAACACGTCGGCGAAACCTCGACATTTATCCACACGCGTACGTGAGTACTTGGTCAGTGATAGCATGTCGGTTGAATCACTCGACATTTATCTACACGCGTACGTAAGCACTTGGTCAGTGATAGGACCTCTCACGTTTTCAGACATCTACACAATTCTCCACAGTGTCGCACTCTTTGTCAAGAACTGTCGAAACATGTTTTTTAGTTTTAAAAGTGTCGTTCATTTTCTTAAATTTGAGATACAGTTTCTTATTAGGAAATACAACACCTTAACTGTTCTTCATTAAAACAAAGAGAATCCCTTTTCCCCTTTGTTTGAGACACAAATCAATTCATTCTTTTTGCGATTTTGACCTTTCCATGTCTTTCTTTCTTTCATTTTTTT